GGGGGGCGATTTTGGCTAAAAGCTATTTTTTGAGTCCAATCGAAGTAGTATGAACCCATTTTTTCGTTCATTTTTGCTGTAAAAAATCAAAAAAAATTTGAAGGGGGGGGGGCGATTGCCCCCCCTAAATCCACCACTGGAACATACTATACACCTTTGCAATGAAGATAGATAATGCAGTTTATAAAGTTTTTCTACATGAATATTTATATAATAAATATCACAGATGAAGATCTTGAAGAAGTTTTTGAATTCAAACGGGGTCAAACAGGTGCATATGAAGTCAAGTGATATTGATTAATTTCAGATCAATAAACATCATCTCATTTCCTTCGATGCCACCGAATCGATGTTTTGCTGCTCAATATAGTATACTGATACTATTTATCACTAATTGGCTTGAAGAAAATATAAAGAAATAAAAAGTATTTCAAATGATTCTATTCGAATTTAGTCTGTTGGAGTCAACTGTTTCCTTTTTCAAAGCTATTCTATAATCAAATAAAAACAGACTTGAATCTTTATTCTACTACGAATTCTTGATTAACTAGACCATAACTTGAATTTATTATACAAAAAAGTCATGATCAAACAAAAGCATATATGAATTCAAATTTATCGTAATGTAATTACACATATTGTACGAATCATAATAAAGATAGATACGATTTTCTTCAAGTGACATAATTCTTGTTTTAATTGATAATACAAAATAGTATTCCAATCATGGTTTTATTGGTCTGACTCAATTCTGACTAACATACAGTTTTAGATTCACGAATTAATTTACTTGAATAGAATTTAGAACTATTCAGGACAATCTATTTGAAATAAAGAAGATGATTCTTCTTCTCAAAATTCACCGATCAATTATGCCATATTTATAAGGTGACTTGTCATGAATTCTGAAAATTTGTCAGTACTTATTTACGTCAAATATTATCTTGAACTTTATGGCAGATTGTAATTAGCTGAAGTCAAATAATTCTCTTATCTTTCACACTGAACTTATTAGTATAAGAAATGACCTCTGATAAAAAAAAGAAAACAAGGTTATATATACTCTATATCTAGAAGCGTTTTCATTCATACTTCCAAATACTTCAGTATAATTATATACAATATAAAGATAGCATGATAATTAAGTGCCCAAATTCGTTAACGTCAATTTTTTCTTTTATACTGGTTGATCTTATATAATAAGACTTCCATTAAAATATTTTCTCGTTTCTTTTCATTATTTAAAACTTATAAATAATCTATATTTTTCTCGAAAATATTCCGTATATAACATTAAGTACACATATCAATCCATTTGTATCATAAATTAATATTTTGATTACATTGTGAAATTACTCATGTTAGATTAAAACATGAATATATATCTTTATAATAAGAAGAAATTATTTTTAAAAGCAAGTTAAACTTATTAAAATATCTTTATTTCTTCTTGAGTTCTCATTATTCCTATTAAGTGCACGTTCATCTTCTTAGAACTAACCGTGCTTTAATATCATATATATATATAATCATGATTAAGAACTAACTATATATAAGTCAAGTTATTGCGTATGAAAAAAAACTGCACTTCAGATACAAAAAATTTCATTAAAGAATCTTCTATTATTCTATAAAATCATTTTTGATAATAAAATGTCATCATCATCATCAATTATTGCATCTCTTACGATTAGTTATGAACAAATCTTTATTTATTTTGGTATACCAATTCTTATTTTTGGATTAATTGGTAATACGCTAAATATCATTGTACTTATGAGTCTTGAAACATTTCGACAAAATTCTTGTGCATTCTATTTAACTATTATGTCAATTGTTAATATTGCACAATTAATTACAGGTTTACTAACACGTATTATGAGTGGTGGTTATTCTATTGATTGGACACAAACTTCATTATTTTATTGTAAATTTCGAATATATGTTTTTCAATTAACTTCATTTATTTCATTTTCATGTATTTCGTTAGCAACTATCGATCAATATTTTGCTACATGTACTCGTGAACGTTGGCAACAATGGTGTCACATTAAAATAGCATATCGTTTACTGATGTTAATCAGTTTTATTTTAATTATTGAACAACTTCCAGGTTTGATTTTCTTCGATCAGAAAAAAATCGTTAGTGCAGTTGGAAATACTACCATTTGTACAGTTACCGACACATATTTTATACAATTTAATAATTATTTCAATTATCTTATTCTTGGAAATTTGTTACCTTTTATATTAACATTTTCCTTTGGTCTAATGGCGTATCATAATGTTCAACAATTAGCATATCGAACAATTCCTCTTGTCAGACGTGAATTAGACAAACAATTAACTGTCATGGTTCTTACACAAATAGTATACAATTTTATAACTCTTTTACCAAATTTAATTCTGTATCTTATTGTTTCTTATGGTAATATTCAAGATTTAATTATTAAAGCACAATTAAATGTAGTTAATGCTATTACAATATGTTTATATTATGCATATTTTGCCGTAGGTATTCAATTTTGAGAAGAAATTATTTTGACTATCATCTATATTTTTATTTTAAGGGTCCATTCTATATTTATACATGCGTATCGAAAAGATTTCGTCGACAACTATTCTATGTTCTTTTCAAAAAGTATATAAATATGTATCGAGAACAACGAGTTCGTCCTGATCAAACAATATCATAGATATAGTAACCAATATAGTCAATGTCTCAAAATTATTATACTAATTTTTTTTCTAATGACATATTATTCTAAAATTGTATGTCTCGAATAAAATAGAAAAAAGAATTGTTGTTGTTTTATTTTTTAGGATGGGTGTGGGTATCATATTTATATCACATTCACATTTACACCCATCCTTCTCTGGCATCAATTCGAGTTTATTTGACTATAATTCCGAACAATGAGAAATTTGTGAAAACCTTGAAATCGTGATTTCAATATCGAGCTTCGCATCGTATTTCGTAGTGGAGTGAAACTCGAGTACCACCTAGTAATAATTAGGAAGCAGAGATTTTGGATATAATAGTAAAATTGAATTTAGATGGAATGACCACTGATACTGTACAAAGGAAAGAGGCTATACAATCACGATTTATTGAAAAAAATCATCGAAATAACGGACAACAATCGGTGATAAATTAGTGGTTAGTCGGATGATTATCATTTCGATGAACAGTGATTTTTTTATCGTTTTTGACAACATGGATCATTGCATCATGTTTATTTATACAAAATCTCATTTATGTATTTAAAGATCCATAATTTATAGGTAAAAGAAGTTTTACTTACAATTTATCTAAAACAATATTGTATTCTTCTTAGAAGAAATCGAACAGAATTAATCGAAGAAGTACTGATAAATATTATTTTATTCTAGGATGTCTCTCAGTAATTTTCAAACGTTCAGTGATACTTATTTCCACACAAAAACTGTTTACAAAAAATAAATAAAGGTTCGCTTATTTCTTTTCGTTATAGTTTCACATATAAAAGGTAAAATTTTATTTAAAATAAGTTCTATCAAAATTTTTTCGATAGGTTCATTAATATGAACAATAATAACATTAGCTATTAATCATTGCCTGTATTGATTGATGTGCTTTTATTATCGATTCCACCAGAATATTCTGATGTCGTTTGAGGTTGTTTCAGTTTAAGATCATACGATGGTGTTTGAGGTAATAAAACAACATTCTCACTTGGCTCGACATATTCTTCTGGTGGTTTCATACTATAACAAAAAAAACGAAATTATCTTATCAACACAAAACAAATCAATTTTTTTTCTTTTTTACATACCTACGTAATATCAACAAACACACAAATGTCAAAACTGACATTAAACCACAGAAAGTAAATATAACTGCAAGTGGAAGATGCTGTTAATTGAGATCATAAATAGCATATATTCTTTATGAAATATTAATGATACTCACCCAAATTATAACTATAAACATTAACGCAACTCGAGGTATACGAAAATAGTTCATTAATGTTGCTCGAACTATGAATTATATAGAAAAATAACTTAAAAATAAGAGAGAAAATATATTATTCCTACCTGAATCTGGCAAATATTGACTTCTTAATAAACTTATAGATGGCAAATAAATACCCACACAAAATTCATATAGACAAAAACTACCAAGAACTATCGGTTGAACCTAAAATCGATTGCATTCGATATATATATATGTCGTAAGGTGAAATAACAGACATACTTACGTCTGGAACAATGATTAACATACAGAATGAAACTATACTTAGCAGAAAAATTACTCTACAATATAAAAATATGTACAGTATGATATAATTATTGTATTCAACTTACAACATAAATGATTGTACTCGAAACCGTTTAGATAATGGTTTAAAAGCTACAGCACCAAGCATATTAAAAAACTACTTCATAAATACATATTTTTCTGTCTATTGCGAAACAAAATTTAACGTTACCATAAAAGTTGAAAACATTATGCCTAATGGTAATGGTTCAGAGATAGTCCACTTGCGTGCATGTTCCAATGCAGGTGTCCATTCAATTGCATAAATATAGATTGTAACTTCAAAAAACGCTGTAATTAATCCAACTAATACAATACGAGAATCTATTCAATTGAAAATCTTTTCCATATAGTTTAACGAAAGAGATTATTAAATCTACTAACCATTTCGTAGTACTTGAAAAGCAGTAATAAATGAAGTTGTACTTAATGCTTCTTTATCACCATAATTTTCTGTCCATTGTATTAATATAAAAACTATCATAATTACATATATACCAGCAGCAATATCAAATGGAGCTCTACAAGATTAAACTAAACGAGTTAATCAAACAAAGTATGAGTAATTGCATGTATTAACTTACACATATCCAAATAGGTCTGCTGAGAACTGGCAAACAAAGCCTACTGCTATAGCAATGATTGATTGTATAACGACTATATATATATAATCAAAAATGAGAAATAATATCGAAATAAAGTTGAAAATAATAGAACTTACATGAATGTCGTAGTATCTGTTTAAGTGAGTCAGTACTTAAACCACTCTAGAATAATATATATAGGATGATGGGTATTAGAATAAGTCAAATATACGTTATGATGATCTTGAACGAGCCATGCTTCAAAGTTTGTATTGTACAATGAATGAGCTATACCACGAGCTGCACTTCCAACGAAAAAAATCCATACTACATTGATATTCTTTTAAGATACAAATCATATTATGAATTGATATTAGAACGTTTTATTTACAAGTGAGAGACAACTGATCGTATAGAATATGGCAGATAAAATACATGCTGTTCGACGACCACTAAATATAGATAACAATACAATTGTTCTTCTGTATTTTGATAATATATTCTAAAGCAATATAGTTACTATTTATCAGAAAGTGATGAAATAAGTGTACCAAGGGTTAAAGTTGAAATATGAGCACAAAGAAAAATTCGTTCAATTGTTGGTCGCCTAAGACCATATGAATCGAAAATAGCATATCGATAGGAACTTTGTAAATTATTACCAGCTATACGATTGAGATAGAAAATATGATAATGATTAATATGATAGAGTATGATTATAAAGTATTATTACCTCCTGCAAGTGCAAAGCCAATGAGATAATTGAATTGTAATTGTTTGAATATTAAGGAATTTGATGTTGTGATACTTGAGCCTTCACTATCGCTTGCTAATTCTTGATGCATGTTGAATACTACTGAAAGAAAATATGGACAAGTTATGCACGGTTGAATGCGTTTTTGTATATTTTTTTTATCAACAGTACTTTGATAATAGTAAGTGGATAGATTTTGTGTCAAAGCATGTCATTTTACATATATACGAAAATGTTATGAATCAACAGAACAAAAACTATATTATATTCGTAATCAACACGTTCCCGTCAAGGTTTGATTGTTACGATATATAGTTCTTGACAAAAGCGGTGCATTGTAAACTTATTGAGCAAGTGAATTATCTACTTCGCCTCATTTATCACTTCTGGAAAACAGTAGTACATATTCATAAACTATGATATATATATATAATTGAGTAGCACGAAGAAAAATTATGGAAAGAAAGTAACTTTTATTCAGTGATCTTTTGTCACATTGTAGTAAATGTGATCATTCAATGTAAAAATAAGTTTTTTAAGAAATTTTATTGCAAATAGATATTATCTAGTTCTGTAACGTGTAAAAGTTACGTTATTTGTTTTTTGATTAACGTTAGATTATTCAGAAAAATATTCCTCACCATAGATATTCAAACGATTGCACTTTTTAGTGCGATGCGAAGGAAAGCATTCATGCAGTAATGGATGACTCTTTCTACCTTTTTTTTTGTCGTATGCATGAATAAATATACAAAGATGAAGCTCATACTAATTATTTTTCGATTTTTCGCACGAGGTTTTATTTGTTTACAAAAAGTTCCGCAAAAATATGATTACAATTATGAACTTTGTTTTCTTCTTGATTTCAAGGTAATTGAAACGAAAAGCAAAAGCACTATATGGCATCGTGACAAGTCGAGGATGCAGGTTAAGGGGCGAAGCAGTTCTTGAAATCTCGATATTCACGATTTTTGAAATAATCGATCAACATAATAATCAGTATCATTATGAAATCTCGATTAATTTTTCTCAACATGTTTTAAGAGTAAGATATTGGTTGACTGTTTAATTATTTCGCTGATTTATCATCCATCGTCAGCTGTAAAACAGTTGTTTGAGAAAAATGGCTCTTTTGTTTTTCGTTTTAATTATCTCGAAATGTGTGAAAGTCAAAATCGTGTTTTTGCGACGCTTTGTATAAACGAACTAAACGTTCTGTTAAAAATTGGAAAACATGTCATATCAGTTCGATCTTGGCATAATAATTTTGCGTTTAAACGAGTATTTTCTAATCTTCCATTGCTGAGATAATCGTGATACAAAATGACTATTTTGAATGCATACGCAAGAGAACTCGCGGATAGTCTCAATGTAGGATGCTTCACATCTTAAAAATTCACGAAGGACTCTATAAATGCTTTGCTTCGCATCGTATTAATGAATTCTTTTTAGTATTTAAACGAGAGACAAGATTGAACCCATTTGTTTTGTTATTAGAGCTCAGATTTATGTTCGAAAGTATGATTTAAAACTCTGTTTGCTAATAGAATATATAAATATATAGTTTCTCAACAAATTTTAGATTAATTGATTAAGCTATTCGTTCGATAACTTTCTTAGAACTTTTTCTAATAAAAACTTTCATTTCTAAGAGTTTCACTATAACACTTGTAAATATATGGGAGTCTAATACTTTTTCATTCGGTAATATAACAATCAAAGTTTAAATATCTATTTAGTAGGTGAAACACATTCGGATAGATACGTTTTCTTTAGTACGTCAAGACCTATTAAAAATTGTTTGAAATATATAATGGGTATTTTAGAAATTTACGAGTTATGATATCACACTAGTTCATCCTATTTAATACTGGAGTTGGATTGGATAGTGTATCTAGATTTGTAAGACTTTTCTGCCTTTAAATGATGCTCATTTTATTAGTTTTCGTTTTTTGAAATGATACGTGTTTATTTTCCTCTATTTTATGTCATGAAAAGGGAATAACCATTATGATATATACTTTTTTGTCGATTCATGTAACTTAGCATAATAAGAGTATATATTTTAAGTGAGCGTATTGCCTTTATTAATCATCATTATTCACTATGAAAAGATGAAGATAATTTATTATTATGCTGAGATATATTAACGGTCGCATCCATTCGGGCGCAACTGCTTATGATGGTACATCCATCGATAGATTTTTAAATTCTATTTTATACAATATCTTATATTATGATAATATTAGTTGTAATTAATATAAAAGAAAATCAGTTGGTAGACAAAATTTTTTTATCAGCTGATTATTACTAGAACATTTTCATTGAGATAATTCATCGCCCAAGATTAATTCCATTAATAAATGATGTCATCGATAGTAGTATATCAAAAACGATGAAAGATGACAGAAGAAGGTAATATTCTGAATATTATCTTCTACTTTTTATTGAAACATTAGAGAACTTTCTATAGTAAATCTGCTAGAAGCAAAATATTATGATCTTATTATTTATCTATGCACAGATTGTTGCAATCATTTTAATATGTGAAAAGTATGTGGGTGAGGATTTAAATGATCGAATAAAATATAAATATGAATTTATAAATAAGTAACAGAAAAACTCACAAATTTTATGATGCATTAAGAAATTTCATTCCGCTATATGAAAAAGAAATTCATATAAATGTTTTTATAATTTTATTAAATTTATATTACAGATGAATGCAAATGAAAAACGTTAAAAAGCAATTAGATTAATATTCAATTAAACTTTGTACAAGAATAATAAATTTTTCCTTTGAATTCTATTGAAAAATACAAAAAAAAAACAACTTTTTTTCTTATCAGTATTGCGAAATACTTTCATCATTTTCAAATATGAGTCATGTATGTCGCAAGTCTTGCTACATATATCACGCAGTTGTATTTTCAATTTTTTTTACATACAAGCACATAAATCAAAAAAGAAGAAGTCATGGAAATTCCATATAGTTATGATAAAGATGGTATACGTATTGATCATACAACATTAACACCCCGTTATTCAGTAACAAATAATGAAAGTTTAAATGAAGGAATATCTTATTTAAATGATCATGGTTATGCAGTTTTTAGTGATGTTCTTTCTCAAGATGAAATCAATTTTAATAAAGATTTATTATGGAAATTTCTTGAAAATATTCCTGATTTTAATATTCGACGTGATGATCCTTCAACATGGTCAAATCGTTGGTAAGAAGAAAAAAAATAAACATCTATTTTATTTTGCTGAAATTATTCTATTAATAGGCCAGGTTTCAAAACTAGCGGTGTTGTAAATAGTGATGGTATTGGCCAGTCTGAATTTATGTGGAATATTCGTTCAAATCGAAATGTAAAACGTGTTTATTCACAGATATGGAATACAAATGAATTATTAGTTTCATTTGATGGCTGTGGTATTTATCGTGATTGGCGTTACAATCCAGAATGGCAAACTAAACCTGCATGGTATCATGTTGATCAAAATCCAGTTATAAAACCTCATCGATGTTGTGTACAAGGTTTTGTATCGTTAACAAATCAAAATGAAAAAACAGGTGGTCTTATTGTTTTTCCACATACACATTTACGCTTTCAAGAATTAAGTAATCTTGGTAATCGACGTTCAGATTTTCTTATGATCCGAAGTAAACATCCAATCTTCGATGGAGGACAAGCCATTGGAAAACTTGTTCAATGTCAAGTTGGTGATCTTGTTCTATGGGATAGTCGTCTTGTACATTGTAATTCACCTGCATTTTTAACTGATGAAATCGATAGAAATCAACCGATAGATCTTTTAAGAATCGTAGCATATGTTAGTATGAGTCCTACAACATTTATACGTGGATATACACTTGATGAATTTCGAAAACAACGAAAATTATTAGTACAAAATAATTGTACATTATCACATTGGAGTACAGAATTAAAACAAGCAAGTAAGATTGCAAAATGAAATTAATTAAAACTAATCTAATAAAAAATTTTCTTTCTTCAGGTTCAGGTGAACATTTACCTAAAATGTCTATGAAAAATTTAAATGCATATCAACGTGCACTTATCCTTGGTACTAATGTTGATGATGAATAGACTGATTCATAAATTTTGAATAAATTTGATTAGAAATCTATTCTTGTTTAACATAATGTATTTGTTCATTCCCTAATGATTATATGCTCTTTATCAATGACATTTTTGAATGTTTAATAATACTATCGATTAGTTCGATATCTAATTTATATTATGGTACAAAGATCATAGTATATTATTTTAGTAACAGTTACATCGATTGCATATTGCCAATTAGCTTTTATTATCACAATGTAAAAGAAAATGATGTTGATGATGATGATGTTCAATTACGAATAAAAGATATCATATATAGATGATTATTGATGAAAGAATATGCTTTTATGCATATGATAAGACTGCAAGGTTATGATATGCTTTCTTAATGATGAATATCATTGCCATTAAATATTTGTATCATCAAAACTAACATTGATCTATTGTATATATATAAATCATATTTATTTTCTTTCTTTAAACTCGTACGTGAGGCATATGGAATGTTTGATCATTGATATTCTAAATCAATCTTATTAGAAGTGATCACTCATATTTATATATATACATATACATGTGTTATACTTCTTACGTAACGGAAAGCACTACGATGAAGTATCTTGAGGCGATACATCTATTGCAAAAGGGCGTATAATGTGATGTGCCATCACTGACAAAATACTAACAATATCGTATATTCATGTCGTCATATAATAGTCCGGCTGTCAATCACTCGTACTATTTGCTTTATAATGGTGCTGTTCATTTGATTCTTTTCTTCTTCTGCCATAGGCAAGGAAGAGAGAAAAAACAGATGTATAAATATTCAATTGACAGAACAGGTAAAAAAACATTTATTTTAAATGAAGAAACGAATTAGCATCGTTTTTCTAGAATACATACATAAGGAAAAGAAAAAGGAACATAATCTCATACGTGCATATATGTATCATAAAGTGATTATCTGTCATATGATTTGTACAAACAATACCTCTACATAAGAGAGAGAGAGAGAAAAAAGTCTCTTTTCCGCTCGTTCGTGTATGAATGTATGATGTAAATGTTAAAGAAAAGAATGAATAAGAAATATCGCAGAAATTCGAGACGATTATCTGCAATCATCAATATACTGCCATATTGAGAATCATATTAACAAATGACTCAATTCATTTGGTCAGTACACACACCATACTTTATTATCGATGGTCATCACAACAGGTTTGAATTGTCTTATTTTTTTTGTTAACAATTATATATTGTATGTGTCTTCTCATATGTTGATTTTTGAAAAAAGAAATTGTATTGAATGATGCAAATAATTCTTAATATTAACTAATTGAACTTGAAAAGTATAATTTTTCGAGTGCACTTTTGATCAATTGATCATTTATATATATGTTTTAAGAATCGTGTAAGCGAAAGTCTATTATATATATGGTATCGAATAGGATAAATTTTATGTCTGTCTCGACGATAGAAAAAAAAAAGAAAGAATTAAATCGCATCGTTCCCATCTTGCATGCTTGTATATTCACTTGATGTGAAACAGTCACCACATCGATATAGAGTATGTTGATTGTAATGAAAGAAGGAGACTAACCGTCTGACTGAGTAACGCCCAATACTATTCTAACGGTTCTTTTTTTAATTGTAATATCCAGTATGTATATATATCTACACAATAGTCATTCTATTTATTGTGCGTATGTTAGAATGATTGACAATGACCACCAACAGTGCAGGTTACTCAATCGACAAAAATATTTATCGATTTATTTACTTTTTAGATAATAATGTAGAATTAATAATTTAATGTATGTCATGCCATGTTTATTCGATTGCTTATTGTTTTTTGTTTCATTTTCATAAGCTATTTATTGGCTTCTTGTCCTTATATTCGTACATCAGTTATCTTAGCTGAATGTGTACTTGATACAAGTCTGTATTTATCACTTGGTGCACATATTTTTAATTCACATTCAATTGATTTTATTGGACATTATTCATTTAATAATAATAATACAACTGACAATTTTATTAGTAATACACTTATTTATAATTTAAGCAATCGTTGGGTATTACTTATACCTTTATTACTCAAGTGTGCTCATCAACCTATTAATTTGACATTTACAGAATGTCAATATACTATGCGACCAAATAAATATCCAAGTAAATCACCATCAATTACGGAATATATGACAACATATTTAAGTGTTAATAATATTACTGATCTTGGTATGCAATCCGTTCTTTATTTGCAACCAGGTATGTTTAAAATAATTTTTGTAACTAAATTTTATGAAAAAAATTAACTAATTTTGTTTAGGCGATATAACTCTTCGTTCATGTAAAGCTTTTGATTGTTCTAAACAACTTGTTTATTTAACAGCATCTAATGAAACATTTAATTTTAAAATCGATTATGAAAAACCTATTGGAACAAAATGTCAATCCGATGAAGATTGTAGTAATCGATATTCTCTAACAAATCTTATTCAATGTGATCAAATATCTCAAACATGTCAATGTTTTAATGAGAATATTACAACTATTGATATATCAAATGTAGGACGTTTATGTACTGATTCAATAGATCGAAGTAATTGTACAAAATTTCCTCAACGTTGTTTACAATGGTGTAATGAAAGTAAAACATCTCATTGTATTTGTCCAAAATATACACGTAAAGTGAGAAAAGTTAATGGAATATTTGATTGTGAATTAGAACCAACAGGTATTTGTCGATTTAATGATGAACAAGATATTGGATTAAATATAAGAAAATGTCCTACAGGTATAAGTCACATATATATATTTACTAGCTATTTCTAATTGATATGAATATATATATATACATAGGAACTTATTGTAATGGTAATCGTTGTCGACCATTATCAATATCACGACAAATTTATGATTATTTACCAAATGAATCTTCTTTAACATCAACTACATCTATGTTTGATATATTTTCTTCAACAACAAAACAAATTTATCCACCACCAATGAGTTTTTTTCGTACATTAATTATTGTTGCTATTGCAAGTCTTTTATTTTTTATATTTATTGTATTTATTATTGCAATACTTATTAAATCACATCGATTTCGTGTATCATCATTTTCTGAAGATAAAATATCATCATCATCATTTGCACCATCAATATCAACAGCTATTTCAACAGATCTTTCGAATGATATCTATCAATTTAAACAGCAACAACCAAATGTATCACTTGATTATTCAAGACGTTATGATAATTATTTAACAACACGATCAACATTTATTCATGGAATTGTTCCACAAGCAAATTTATCACCAAGATTCTATCGACAATATCAAGGATTTGATGAACGACGACGACGTCGACGTGCACCATTACAAATAGAATCACCATCCTTATCATCTATTGATCATGAATTATTAACAACGAAAAAATATATTCATAATAATAATACAAAAACTCGAACTCATCTACCAATAGTAACACATTTACACAATGGAGATGTTCTTATTTCAGCGTAAAAATTTTGTCTTTTTTTTTTGCTCTTGTTTATTTATCATATTCTATTTAACGAATAAATTGTTTAAATGTCTTGATAAAATAAAGTTTTTGTTTTTTCTTTATGAATCAATTGAAATAAGAGATATGAATAGTATACTTAACCAATGAATAAACATATCATTAGTAATTTGTCAAGGACAATAGTGACGTAAAAAAACATTTTTCGTTCTTTTATTGCTTCGTAACGAAACAAAAATATTCAATCGCACATGGAATGTTTACAATACCTTATTCATTGTATACATTCCAATATTAACGATATAAAACAAATATATTTGCCTACAAGTATAGCTGTAACAGCACTTTATCTTCCAATTTTTCTTCTTTCAATATTCAATCAATCAATAACAAAACTTTCAAAATGGATTTTAACGATTCCTATTGTTATTTATTTACTATTTATTCCTATGTATCAACCAGTACGTTCAATACCATTATTTAATTCATGTATTGCAGGTATTGCTATTTATTATGTACAAAAAGTATGTGAATGGTTATTAATTCGACGTAATGAATTTCATCAATGGTCTTTTTTTGATATACAACATGAATTATTTTATTATCGTGTTTATACACAATCTGTTAGTATAAAAAAATTAGATAAAAAGAAAAAAAAAGAAATATTTTATACTGGTCCTATACAATTTAATAAACATGCTCAATCCTTAATAGATATATCTTGTAATATAATAAAATATTATGTCTTACTTGACTTTGTTATTTATTCATTACATGAAATTTTCAGTACAGATTTCTATGAAAAATATTATAAGAAATATCTATTAGTACAAATTATTATTAATCAATTAGGTGGATGTGTTGTATATTTATTTTTAATGTTCAATTATGAGATTGTTCGACATACACTTTGTCTATTACTTAATCGACCACTTGAATTGATACCTGATCTGTTCAATAAACCATATCGGGCAATATCACCTATAGATTTTTGGTCAAGATGGCATCAAATGTAAGTTAAAGAGATCGAAAGCATTTTCTATAATAATCTATTTGTATAGCTTTAAAAATACGTGGATTGAATTGATCTTCAAACCAATATCAACATTGATTTGTCATCATTGGCCATATTTACCAAAATTTATCAGTTATGGTATTTCATCAATGTGTGTTTTCTTAGTTTCCGGTATTATGCATGAATATACTGTTTATATAACATTGAATAAATTCTCTGGTGATCAAATAAAATTTTTTCTTCTTCAAGGTTTAGCTGTTCTTATTGAATCTGCATTTAAACAACAATTTCCACAGTTTTACATTTCAAAACCAATTGGTTGTGTCTTAACATTTATATTTAATGGTATAACAGCTGGTTATTTTATACAACCTTGGATACCATTTTTTTGTGATAAAAAAATATTAAAATATTCATTTATTAATTTTGTTATACGAAATTTATTTTATAGATATTGAGAATTTTCTTAAAAAAAATAGATAATTTATACAAGACATTTTACTATCTTTTGTTATATTTAAGATTAAATTAAGCCATAGATTTCAGTATTTTCTTAGTAAATAATTATTATCCATCATAATGTTTAAATGCATTTTCTGAAAAGCGCAATGATAATCGTATGATGTAAGCTCATCATTGTATATTATTAAACATTATATTTGAGTTTGAGCTATCTCTGAGAAGAGACTATAAAATCTGATTAATGTATTGACAATCTACAGTTTAGTGATCAAGTTCACTGCATTTATCATCTGTGAGACATTGTATAAATAGTAAAAATCCATGCTTGCAGAAGATTAATGTACAAGTAACGCTGGTCCGAGGACTGGCTTAGCTCTTTCTTGTAAAAATGCATCTTCTTCACATTCACTGAAAAAACAATTGAAAACCGTGAAAAATAAATTTTCAATGTTTTTTTGACCTCTCACCCACCCTGACCCACTCCCCAACCATGGTCACCCAAAAGACCTCAGATTCGAACTCCCCGCATCGAAAAACCTCTAGAAATGTCTTTTTCGGAAAATCGATTTTCGATGTTTTTTTGACCCTGCGGACAGACAAGCAGGCAGATAATTTATGTTTACTTGACTCTTCTCTACGAGAAAGAGAATAACCAAGACTTTACAATAGAAACTAATCTATCGATGATCGATCATTTCATAGAGATTAGAAATCAAGATGAAATTTTGTAATAGACTAAGAGAACAACTGCAGATTCTCGACATCTATTCACTATCTTTTATTAAGTTACGTTAATTTCAATGTGAAACATTTAACTACGAACTTCGTTATAAATGAAATCTATAAACATTAAGGTAAGTTTTTTTCGAGTAGTTAGGCTGTGCATTTATCTAAAAATTGATTATTTTTTCACTGATCGAAAGAATATATGTAAGGTGTTAATAGATATTCTATCAACTATACTCTTTGATATACCTTCTATTCTTCACGATATGTTCCTAAATAAGTGTCACACATTATTGCTATTCATCTAAATCTTGATCAAAAAGATCAAGTAGTAGCAATCTTATCTATAATAACAAGTAAACAATTATATTTGTATACAAACGGAAATCCCATTTTTCTTTTATTTATCTGCTCATCATCATACCGCACGTGTGTAGTAGCATAATATCCCTTGAATAAATATCATGGACTGTTTTCTTTCAACTCGTTTATATATATATACAACAAACGATAGATACATAAAAAAGAATCAATCAATCACTGTTCGAAATAGATTACATACTCATTTATTTTAAACTTAAATCAAGCGGAGTATTATTAAATAAGGAAGATTTTTCTAAGAAGGATGATTCGATTATTGATGAAGAACTTTCACGAATATATGGTGAAACTTTACAAATTGTTTTTGTAATTGAAATCATTGATTTAGTATTCGATACAGTGTTGATCATTTTTTCATTTGATTGAAATGTATTAAAATCATATCGATTATTTGAAAGACAATCGAATATTGATGGTGGAACTTTAACCATTGTTGGAATAAAACGTATACGTCGTCGAGGTTTATTAAATTTCTTTTTTAATAACGATTTTTTATATTTTGTTCGATTTTCACATGAATTAATTAGATCAGGTAGTTCAATTGATTGAGGAATATACCAATCATTTGTTGAACTTTGTGATCGACATAATTTGACTTTAAGTGTTGAATCTATTGAACCGGTAGAAGATAACGAAGAACTAATCGTAGGTGCTAAAATTTCAATTTTTAATGGACTTGGTTGTTTTGATTGATGAATACGTTGAAGTATTGCTTGATAACCATATGGACTAATAACAAATCGAATATCAAGTGTTTTATTTCGTATATCAAAACAATAACATATATCATTCAATCGTTCTTTATCAGTATTTAATAAAAATGTTTTATAAAATAAATCGATCTAAATAATTTTATATAAAAAAAAGTAGACGAAATCGAATTCTTACTTTTATTGTTGATAATAATGAATATTTAATTCGAAGAAATTTTTCTATGGATAATAAGGGTGTATTCGCTGGACATTCTAAATAACATTTTGATAATTCTATCGGTGATTCATTCGGGAATAAATCTAATGAACTAAAAAAAAAGAGAGAAAAATTAGCCATGAGCTATTCATATGTTTTGTTAGACATTGAATGAAAGTTAATAGCTAGCGGAAATGCATGCATTGCTTTTAAATGAGAACTAATTAGTTATTGAAAACTTACATATTCCAATATTCTAATTGTACATATATCTTAGTATCGGTTGATTCTGTAATAGAGAATAAATAAATAGTAAAGTTTTTTCCTTAAGGCCATTTATTTAACTAACCGTTAGTGATCAGTAGAGATGATTTGCACGCGATTTTACCTAAATAATTATAATGACAGATAGATGTATATGAAAAGATAAGGATAAAATCTTCGCTTACGTTGAAAGATTTTATATAGTAATCGTTGAAATGTAAGATCAGATCTATATGAAATAACTGAAATAGGAATTTAGATATAAATTAGTTAAATATTACCTTAATGTTTCTAATGGATTAATAACCATCATCTGACATAATGGGCAAGTATTATTATTTGAATTTTGAAAATAATTTGTTATACATAATTTACAAACTAAAATTTTTTGAAGGAAAAAAGGGGTCTTATGATTAATCAGTTTTAAAACTAGACTTACATCGATGTAAACATTCATTAATGACTGTAGCTGAATGTATAAGTTCATTACAGAGTGGACATTTGAATAGAGAATTAACCAATGACGATTCAATAATGATTTTATCCATCTGAAAAAAATTTACTCATCAATCATAACAATACTTGTCTTGATAATAACAATGATGCATCACATATGGCTTGTCGAAAAACAAACGCGCACACTAATTGAAAAATATAGAAAGTAAAAGGTCATGAAGAGAAAAATGAACGTGCTCATCAATAGATCACTATGATTATATAGTAAAGTATAAAGTAAAATTTTCACACATTAAATAAATAACGGTTTATGTACGTAGGAGACGTAGTCATGAAATCGAAGATGCTTTTTCATTGTCAAGATGAATACATAAAAAACGATCAAGTATTGATCGATACGAGAAGGAAAAAAAGTTCAGTATAGTATCTAAATAATACAGCGGACACGTCTTCTTTTGTTTTGATCTAAACGATAAGCACATAGAATAGAAGAGAGTTTAATCATAGACAAACAGCTGATAGTTTTACTATGAGTAGTGAAAAGCGGTGACGATTATGATATAAAATAGTATGGATATTTTTATTGAAAGTTATCTATATGTTCGAAACTAAATACTAATATTAAGAAAACTTCAATAAATACCTATTTTGTGTACTAGTTATTCAAATGCATCATATTGTTGTTGTGATTAACTTTGAAACTTTGCAATAAGACTATACTTTCTTCTCTCTGTAGTGTGCAATCGAATTATAGATGTGTTTGTATAGCATATGATGAACGTTCTCTTTTTTTCTCTCTCTTCATACTAACATTATAGCAAGAGTGTGTATTCTCATGAATAAAAGAAAAGAAAAAAAAAATAGGGCGTTTTCGTTGGTCAGCCGTATATACATTTCAATGAGAAATGTAATTTGATCATCGTCCTAAAAACTAAGACTAATTCATAATAGATACGGAAGAATACAATAGAGAATACGAAAAAGTGCGTTGAAATGCTGGATAAGCCATTGATTATTGTAAAGTTTTTATTGGTTGATTACTTTCTTTTTTTTCATTATATTTATAGATGAGTGATGAAAAAGATATATTCTAAAAACATGATTGGATAGAAGCACTTGTTTAAATCTGAAAAATGATTACTAGCGAAATAATAAAATCATAGTCTGAGAATAAAAACAAACTGTTACTAATTGTAACGAAAGTACGGATAATAAATGTAATAAAACTTATGGCTGATTTATTTTATATATCATGTTGTATGATATGATGAAGAGATAAGAACACTTGATTTAATTGAATTCTCTTGAAAAAACAATTGTTTACTGATCAATATTGATACTCTATACCGTTATGAGATGTATATAGAAATTATCGTTTTGAAAATAATACATCTGTCGTTTGCGGACATTAACTGATTTTTTCTATGTTAAAAAATATCATACTATCAATTAAAAGATCATCGGATGATTATAGAGAAGGTGAATAATATAATAAATACAATAGATAGACGAGTATTATGTTAACTATGTAGAAAGAATAACTATAAGTTAATTGAAATATTATAATACAATATCCGAAATGAGAAAGTAGAGGTAGATAGTACTTATTAAAGGAAAACTCAAATTGAATATAATTTATTTTTAAGTTCTCTACTTCAGGTCAATCAACTGGCACAATTCTATCGAAAATTCAGGTAATGGAATTACTATTGGAGATAACAATCAACTTCAATTTGACTAATTGAATATTTATTAGTATTTGCTTCTAACACTAGAAGTTTCAATGTCATTTCATCATTAATCTCCCAATTATAGTAATGACTCTTGTAGGTCAATTTTTTTATTATTATTAACATACCAAAAACTCTCCGATCGTGTCGGTCTTAAAGGAACAGTTAAACTGATGGCAGAGATACAACTAGTGAATTAAAAATACATTTAAAAACTTCATGACTGGAGCATTGCAATATAAAAGAGAATGTATACTCCACTGAAACCTTCAAGGCGAGCGGCAGCAAGGTTAGCAAACATATATATAGGTACGAGCGTTTGTTATTGTTTTTTCGTCTTCATTCTGCATCCCGTGGCTTGGTCTGTTGATTATACATCGTTACGTACTAATTGCTTCTCCTTGTCGTATGTCATATTCAGCTTTCGCATCAAATCGTCTAGGTTTTTGTTTTGACGTTATATTCGATATAAGGTCATTCAAAAATGTGTTATTGACGTAGTGGTGTGTAGGTACGATTCTACTGACAGT